AAGGAAGTCAACGACTGCGGGTGGTTGCTCAGGCTCTCCCTGGCCTTAGAAGGTCCCCTCCTTGCCCTGGTCCCTCATTACCATGGGCGGAGCCTGGACCCATCCAGATACAGAGCCCAGTATCCAAATGAAGAGGCTGGGACCACCCCCAGCAGGGGCACTCTCAGGGTAGAGAGTGGTGGAAGGCTGCCCCGGGCTGCCTGGGTAGGGGTCCCCCAGCTGGCTTATAAGCACCGGGAGGGTTTTTCTGGAGGACCAACTGAGTAGGGGGTTGGGGTGGGGGGCGGGGGGGAGCAATGTGTGCAACACCTGAGCAGGGACCCTTCTGTCTTTGGCTCCGTCTGGGCGGAGTGCATCCCCACCTGCCTTTTTCACCCAAGTGCTGAATTAGCATCCTGCTTAGGAGGACGTAGGTCACACTGGCAGTCCTCAAAAAGGAAACTGCTACCTCCGTTGTGACAGGGTGTGAAACAGCTACCTCAGCTGCCTCCCCATGTGCCTCTTGGGGTCCGCGCTCCCTGGGGTCTGTGGTGCCCGGAGCAGCTTTCCTCTTCCTGCCAAGGACATGAGCCACACTGGAGACACCCTTATGGCCCCATGAGCTGGCGCTAATGGGGGCCGTGCAGTGAGGAGAGCAGGCAGGTGGCCTGGGCGCCCCAGCCCTCCCTCTGTGCCCAGCGGGGAAATGGCTTTTCCCAGGAGAAAGCTCAAGCAGGAACCTCACAAAGACGTATGACGGAAAACTCCAGCTTGCCTGCGACCCCCCAGCAGGCGTGGCCTTCCTTTGGAGGCTGCAGAAACTCTGGGGATGAGAGTAAACCTAAGACCAGTGTCCCGTCTTACGAGGACCGTGGGCTCTGTGCTGCCTGCGTGCTTCCTGGAGCCGTCGTAGAAATGGTTGAGCTGGGGCAGGAGCCGGGCGTTGTGCGTTAGACTCCGGCCAAGGTTGCCAAGGCCCCAGGGAAGCATGAGATGCGGTGGAAATGGTGTGAGCTGGGAGACTGACTGGTGCAGCGGGCAGAGCAGTCTGAGGGGCCCACGACCCTGTTCTGTGCTGTCCGAGCAGTGGGCTATCCAGGGCAGCAACCTGCCCCCACCAGCCAGAGGCCCCCTCTCCCCACTACCACCGAGAGGAACGGTGACATCCCACTGGCCTCTGAGGCCCCAGGAGGCCTGGGGTTGGTCATTAGCATCTGAGACAAGGCCTGTCTGTGGCCTGTACCGACTCCCTCTGCCTGGCTCCAAGCAGCCTACAGACCCCAGCGGCCGGGCCCTCTCTCACATTTGCCCTCTCTGCCGGCTTCTGGCGGCTGCCGTCAGTCCTGGACAAATGTCCAATTGTCGCCACATCCTCCCGTCCCTCCTCCCTCTTCACGTCATCTCCTCTGTGCCTCTGTCTTGTGCTCTGTGCCTCTCCCACAAATAAGGCACTTGTCATTGGATTGAGGGGCCACTGGACAATCCAGGGTGATCCCACCTCAAGAGACTTCATTACCTTGGCTTTTGCCAAATAAGGTCGCACTCACAGGGCCTGGGGATCAGGACACGGTTGTGTCTTTGTAGGGGGGGGCCTGTTCAACCCGCTGCAGCCCCTTTCCAACTTCTCCCAAAGACGTCGTGGGTCCTATCATTTCCCCAGCTAGAGAGAAGCGGGGCAAAAGACCTGCTGTGTGCCAGCCACTCCACATTCATTACCGTAACTCTGCCTAGCAGCTAGCCAAGATGAGCGTTCCCTTTTCCTCTGTCCAGGTGAGAACACAGAGCGCAGGGATGTTCAGTAGCGTGCTCAGAGCCGCACAGTCGGTAACGCAAAGGACTTGGTCACCAAGTCTGTCTGTGTCTTACACAAGGGATGGGTTAACGGAGATGCTTTATTGGAGAAAAGGGGGCATTCCCCTGGGCCAAGGGTCTGCGAGAAGTGAGAAGACAGGGAGCCCCCAAACTCTTCATGGGCGCCAGGAGGAGTGCTGGGACCAGGGTGCTGGGTAGCCAGCAGTGGCCGGGACCAGCCAGACCCCTGCCCTCCCAGGACCCACGTGCCAGCGGCGGAAGCTGCGATGGGCAGTCTGAAGGTGGGTGGAACTGTGCAGAGAGACAGAGCAGGGCGAGGTGCAGAGCGGAAGTAACCAGGTGGGGCTGGGGAGGTCGCACTGGGTACATGGATCTAAGGAGGGAGGTTGAAAGATGGAGTGGGCGGGACCTGCCTCTGCCCCACCCACTGCCCCGCCCACTCCATCTTCTGACCTCCCACCTTTGGGTAGTCAGGCAGAGGAGCAATGGAGCTCCATCTGGTGCAGATGGAGCAATGGAGCTGGAGTGTGCGTTTTCTCTGGGTGCGAGAGCCGGCCCCTGGGAGCCAGAGGGAGGGGAGGTCTCATTCACTTTTTAAAAGCTTGCTTTGGGAGGAAACATAAGGCAGAACCTGGCTGAAGGACATGCTGCAGAATAACTGGGCTGGGCTCCTCAAAAACACCAAGGTCATGACAAAGACAGCCCGAGAATGTTCCCAGTTAAAGGCGACTACAGGGAGGCGGCAACAGAATGCAGTGCACGCTCTAGACTTTTCTTTCGAGACAGGAGGCAGAGCATGTGTGAGGTGTGTAGATTACTCACGTGCTGTATCTGTAGTTTTCGACCCCCACCCTGCACTGATGTGAGAGGGAGCCCCATTTATGGGGAATCCCCGCTGGAATATTTAGGGGGAAAGGGGCACACCCTGTCTGCCACTTACTCTCAAACTTTCTAGAAAAAAATCTGTGTGTGTATGTGTGTGTGACCATGATAAATAAACTGTAGGGAACTGAAGAGCATATGGGAAATTTTTGTATTGTTCTTGGAATTTTTCTTTAAGTCTAGGATTTATGTCAAAATCACCAGTTAAAAGCAAGAGCAGGGGGGCTGCAGTGTGGAGAGCTGTCTGTGGGACAGGCTCGGTGGGGACCGGGAGCGTGGGGAGGGGCCGTGCAGCAGAGCAGGAGAGAGGGTGCCCTGGACCACAGGGGGTGGCCGTGGAGGTGGGGGCGGGGTTTGAAGGTAGAGGCTTCAGGACTTGCTGACAGGTTGGACTTGGGACTGAGAGAGAATAATCATGACCTTCCAGCTAAATGGAGGCTCTTTCCCAGGATGGGAAGGACGGGGGGGGGGGGGGGCGCGGGTGGCGGCAGAGGGCGCAGGGGATGCAGCTTCGGGAGAACAGCAGGAGCTCGTTAGCAACAATAGCATAGGCTTCGCAGCTTCCAGTGCCACCTACGGAGGGGAGGCGATGCCCTGGGAGAGGGTGTACTGCTGTGAAAGTGGACGAGCCCAAGTGCAGAGTCAACACAGGGGAGGGAGGAGGCCAGGGGACCTCTGATACGGACAAATGCTTGAGAGAAGGAGGGGAGTGTCATTTAGTCTGAGGGCCAGAGTGATTTGCTCGGACCTTTTTCAGCTGCTTCCCATGGACCGGGCACTGTGGGAGGCGGTTTAGAGCCCTGACTTTTCCTCTTCTCACAACGAACGGCCTTGTGGGATGAGCATCACCATACCCACTTAAAGCACGACCACTAAGGCTCAGAGAGGTGAAGAGATCTGCCCGAGGTCACACAGCCGGAGACCCAGGCTTTGGAAGCCAGTCCACCCGTCCCGAGAGAACCCGCCCAGGTATTCCTGTTTTCTGTCATATTTTGCCCTTGACCCCACAGGACTGAGGGCTCCCCTCTTTGAAGGGAAGCCACACATCTGTTTTTTCCTGACAGCTGTGAGTCTGTCTCGAAGGGAAGAAGCATTTTGCGGCCAGCCCAGCCCCTTCCAGGAAAGAGCCCCTGAATCACAGGATCCCGCCCGCCTCGTTCCTCTGACGCGCACTGTTAGAGCAGGCCCCTCCCAGAGAAGGCGCTTGGCTCTCGCCTTCTCCATTTCTCCCAGTCTGGAAACAGCTCCCAAGAGGGAGGGGCTGAGCATCCTTGAGGCCTGATCCGCTCCCTGGAAGGGTGCCCGCTCCCGCTCCTTGTATTTATCATTATTGTTAACAGAAATCAATAGCGATCGCTCTGAGTCATAGAGACGGGGGTGCCAGGCTCTTATCACAGCCGCTTTCCCCGGGGCCTTGTGAGGCTGATATTTCCATCCTCATTCTCAATACGGGGAGTCTGAGGCTCAAAGGGAATATGCCAAGGTCACAGCACTGGGAGGGGCCGAGCCAGGATCCAGGCGCCAGGCACAGGGCTGCCCCACCAGGCCTCAATCCTGATGACTTTCGGAATGGGCTCGCCCCTCCCCACCCCAGGTCTGACCGCAAACCTCCATCCTGCCTCTGTGCTTCAGGGTCACGGACACAGGCCAGGCTGAAAGGCACCAAAGTCTTCTCTGTCCGGGTCCCAGCCCCTGCTGCTAATTAGCTCTGGGTTTCCAGCGTCCATCCCGGTGCCTGCTCTCTGTTCCGGCCTCACCCCGCCACACCCAGCCTAGCCCCAGCCGAGGGATGGCCTGGGAGATCCTCTCATCCTGATCCCATCTAGGGTCTGCTTGTCCTCTGAGCAGTCCAAGGCCTGAAAGGGGAGGATCCGGTAGGAGGCAGGGGCCAGTAGGGTGGGTGGGTGCGGCCGGGTGCAGCTGGGCCAGAGAACAAAGAGAACTACTTCTCGGAAAGATAGAACACTTGGCTTTCTCGATGCTCTGGGCCCAGACACATTCCTCCGGGCCGTGCAGTCTAGAAAACAGGTCAATTATGTTCAAGTCAACAGCTGGGTACCCTGTGTCCACTGCATTAGTCAGGGCCACCTGCTGTCACAGATAGCCCCCCCATCTCGGTGGCTTAGCGCTATGAAGGGTGTTTGAGATTTCGTTTTGTTTTGGTCTGTCTTTTTGCATGTCTGGAAATTGCTTTACAAACTCCAGCAAACAAATGGAAAAGCAGGGTGAGAGTGGTGGATAAAAAAACTGGGAAAATGCCGAGAATTTGGAAGCTGAGTGATGGAAGAATAAAGTGGGTGGTTATACTGCGTTCACCGCTACATTGATGCATTTGCCACATTCACGTATGTTTATTTCTCACTCCCACAAAGTCCGATGCTCACGCCCCTGGCCCCTCACTCTCCTGGGTGGCTATTCTCTGATGGTTGTTGCAGGACAGAGGCCCCTTCCTTCTTGGTGGCTCCTCTGTCATCTTGTAGTCACGAGGTCACCCTGGTGTCATCCAAACGGCAGACTAGGAGAAGAAGAAGAAGATGGAAGACGGCATCGCCACCACTTCGCACCTAATCCTCGAAGTGCCAGTCATCCCTTCTGCTCACATTGCTCTAGTGAGAACTAGTCACATGACCAGCAAGGGGTGCTGGGAAATGTAGTTCCTGGCTGGGCAGGTACTTCCCCGCACCACCACCATATAATGTAAAGGGAACTTGAACCTTGGTTGGTCAGCTGATGCCTCTGCTACACTGTGTGTTGGGTATGGCCAATGTCAAGGATGCTGCCCAAGGGGACAGCCTGGTCTCCTGTGAGGAGACAGAAAAAGAATCTGAAGAGGTCAGTAAGGATGAACTTGTGCCTTTTGCTGCAAGGCTTCCAAAACTACCTGTAAAGTAACCTTGGCTCATGGAGGGAGAGAAGGTGATAGGTGAGGAGGCACCCAGTCACCAGAGCTCCCTGAGCACCTGTCCATCCGAATACAGGTGCCCCCACCACCCTATCCACCCTCCAGGTCAAAAGTGGCAAAGGACTCGTTTTATACCATGTTAATGTTGTAAATTAACATTACATTATGAAGAAAATGAGCACAATGTACAAGGGATCGCTCTGAATGATTTCCTATAGCTGTCTGTGAACTGTAATTATCTCAAGGAAAAAAATCTACAAGGGGCGTGGCAAAGGAGAGGCCCTAGAGGACCCCCAGGCCCTGAAAGCCGTCCTCTCTCCGGCCTCCGCCCCCCTTCCAGGTCCCCAGCATGGCTGCTCCGAAGCCTGGATCAGCATGGCTACTCTGCTGACTTCCTTAAATCTGGGGATGGGATAGTGCCCAGTCTGTCGCAGTGCAACACAGTCTGACTTCTTCCAGAACTATCTCTCCATCCTGGCCTTTTCCTCCCCACATGCATCCCCCCCGACACCCCCCCCCCCAACCCGTTTGAGCCATTAGCTGAGGTTCAAACTCCCTGGGCTGTCTCCCCTCCTTGGTCCTTACCATGTGCTCTGTCTCGGGACGTGCCCTGGCTGCTGCGGTGGGAGGTACAGCCATTCTTATGATCCTCTCCCCCTTTCCTGGGGATCACCCCAAAGTTTCCCAGTAAAAAGACAACCAGTTACCGTTTTGGGGTACCCATGGTGTCTTTTGCATTCTACATATATTTCTAGTTTAATCCTAGTTACGATTCTTTGAAGGAACTGATCTCCACTCCTCAGCTTTGCAGTGCAGTCCCCAATGCCCTCAGCCACCACCCCTCCCTTCTGTCACCCCCAGCCTCTGCCTCTGGGTCCCCTGTGCCTCCCCGCCTGCAGTGTAGCTGGCTCACACACCCTCGGCCACAGGCCAGGCGCCCGGAACTCTGCGTCCCTGTTTATCTGTCTTTCCAGCCTCCAGCCCTTCCTCCCCCACCCGCTTTCCCCAGAGGCTTCCTCACCCCAAAGGCCACAGCGGATCAGTGACATCATCTGCCTTCGGACCTCGCACGGCCCAGTTATCAGGCTATAAGTGGAAGCCCCTGACAGTTTCCCACAGGAAAGCACGCTTCCTCGCTTCCGACTCCGCACTGCCCCTGGGGATCTTGGCAGAGTCCACGGGCTCCCCATGGACGTGCCATTCGGGTACCTTTTCCATCCATGGTAGGTCCTCTCTCAGCGTCTCCCTCCGTGGGGTCACCAAACTCAGCCGTTCGGGAGCCCGACCGACCCACATGCAGGCCCTGCTCCTGGTCCGTCCTCCTGCGTGAACTTGGGCCAGTGGCTTCCTGGCTCTGGATTCTGCTGTTGCACTTTTCAGTGGGGAATAACAACTGACATCATCTCATCCAATCATTTTAACAGTCTTCCCAGGCACAGGCATGGTTCCCATCTTCCAGATAAGTAACCAGACACAGAGGTAGTTAGGCACTGGTCCAAGGCCACGGGTTGGTAAACAGTGGAGCCAGGACCTGGATTCGAACCCCTGTCGTCATGAGAGCTCTGAACTGCCCAGGAGCGGCCTGGAGACCTGGGGAAGGCTTCCCGCTGCCCAGACAAGCTGAACTCCGGGGTGGAGTAGGGTGTCAGGGACACCCAGGTTCCAGAACTGGCGTGTCCCTTGCCGGCAGTGGGGCAAAGCAGAAGTTCACTTCTCGGGACTCAGTTTTCCCAGCTACAAAGTGGGCATGACTGTCCCGACTCTAGAGTTGCCACGGGACTTAAAGGAGGTGACGCTTCCCGGACCCCCACCGTTCCTGAGTTGCAGGGCAGTTTCTGAACCCTCATGTTTCCTCCGCATTCCTTACTAAGGGTGTTTTTCTTAAGTGGACCCTGATTTAATATTCATATCTATTTCTTGGAAATGTATTGAAACTAACTTCCTATTACCACCTTAAAAAGAAAGCCAAGTACATCTGCCATAGTGAAAAGTGTTAATGCAGTGAATCCTGCAAGGAGGGTGAAAAGTGGTAAAGATCCACTTTCGCTGGTCGGCCTGGGGGGACGCTTCTCAGCCCTTCTGGACTCTAGGTCAGCAAGGGCCAGGACAGGAGGTGCTCAGGGTATCTTGTCACCTTCCCCAGGCACGTAGCGGATGTCCTGGGCTGGTGAGCAGCAGGTGCTCTGAACCCTAGGCCCTCTCTCCGGCCCCACCACCCTGGAACAGGCATGTTACAGGAAGCAACCGGCCCTCCTCCACAGGGTCCAGGGGCCACAGCGGCGACCGCCAGTTGAACTTTGATTCCCTGACCAGCAGCGCTTTTTGCTTAGAGAGAGGGCTGAGGTCACTGCCGACCACGACCAAACACGGCATGTGGCGTGGCCGGCCCTGATCATGCTGTCCCTGGCAACCATCACGAGCCTTTGGACACCGGAGCTAAGTGGCTGCTGTGCTCTAAGACCTCTGTGGCTCCCTAGTCCCCAGAGGGGCATGCCCACCTCATCTCTGCGACATTCCCATTGAGCTCAAGGTGTCTTCTCCGCCACACTGCCCGGGGTTAGAACCCTCCCTCCCCGTCCTGTGGGCTGAGTGCCCCTGCGTGAGGCACTCGACCTCCCCGAGGGCCAGTGCCCTGGGAAGGTGAGAGCCCCCATTTCACTGGCCGTCCTGGGATCCTAAGAACAGAACGTGCTTCCGAACAGGTCCCTTGGCGGGATTGTCCCTCTGGCAATCCCAGCCTGCACTTCTTCAGCCTGCACTGGTTTCCCCGGCACAACGCCCTCCCTCTTGCCGAAGGGCTCTGGCAGCACCGCCCCCCCTGCTCCATCTACAGGCCCAGTGACCCCCTTCATGCCGGCTGTCAGTTTAGAACCACCTCCTCCAGGAAGCCTTCCCTGATTCCAGACCAACTCAGGCCCCTGTTACTGCCCCCTCAGGGCACCTCCCAGGTTATCTGAACTCCAGTGCCGTGCCTAAACTCCCAGTGGCCAGGAGCTGTGTCACTTGTGCTGCCTCTGTGGCCTCAGCACTTCATGCAGAGCCTGGCACAGGGCAGGAGCTGAAGAAATGGAAGTTCTTAGAATATCACATCCACCAGCTTGGGAATAGTAGCTGGCGCACTGAGCCCTCTCTCCCTTGCTCCTGCTGGTGCCCCTCCTGTGCGTGTTCTTCCCTTTCATCTCCCCAAGAGGCCCACCCCAACTGGCACCATTTACAAGGCTCTCCTCGATTTGGATCCTCGTGGCCACCTTGGGAAGCGGGCGGGGTAGAACCACAGCATTTTAGATACAGAAACTGAGGCCTAAGGCAGTGATGTGACTGGCCTGAGCCGCAGCAGCCGAGAAACAGCCAGATCCTGAGGCAGCTGTGGTCTTGGGAACCGGGGTGTGAAACTCAGCCTGGGGTCAAGGGTTCTTCCCCTCTCCACTTCCTCCTGAACTCTGGGCCTCCAACCCACGACTCTTCCTGCTGATCTCATTGCACAGCTCGCTCGGTCCATCCTCATCCCAACCCAGAACTGGAGTTGTCATTCCCATTTTAGGAATCAGAGAGCAGAAGGGTCCACGGGCTGAGCAAACTGCCCAGTCCCACACAGCTACTGGGAAGCAGAGCCTGGACTCAGGGCCGGGTCCAGGAAGCCAGGGGCGTGGCTTCCTCTGCCTAGTACCCTCTTCCTGGGACCTGCAGCCTGGTTCCCTGTGGGGGTTACCCACCCCCAAGGCACAGCCCAGCGGGGCTGTCGATTCAGGTGCCTCCCCCTCCTCTGACCCAGACTGGCTGCTGTCCCTGATGCTCCTAGCAGAGGGACAGTGCCCAGGTGACAGTTGTTACTGACTCATTCCTGGGAGAGTGCCCACTTATCCCTGCTGCCTGGGTCCCTGGAGCTCCCGCCCTTTCTGAAGCCCCCGGCTGCTCCGTGGAGCCTGGGGGCCGCACCATACTCTTCTAGCACATTCCTTCATGCAAAAGTTGGTCAGTTTCTGTGGCCACTTCTCTCGAGCTGATGATAAGACCCTTGAGGCCAGGAGTGCGTCTCACATTCCCCTTCATTGTGTTCTCTGTGTGCCTGGCGCCGAGCAAGGCTGCCGGCACACATTTAAGAAATTGAGCGACAAAGGAGCCCCAGACAGGGCGACTCTCAACCATTCTTAGAGTACCTCCATGCAGTTTTTGGTCTATTTCCACATTTTCTATAATCGACTTGTATTGCTTTATTTGTTCCTAAAGAAATAAGCTAAGCAGCCCTCAAAAAGTACCATGAAGTGACCATTGATTCCCAACCCCCCACTCAGGAGGTACGGGGCTCCCCAGACGATTCCCCCACTGTGGTCACTGACTGCCCCACAGATGAACGCAGGCCTCGGTGTGGGAACCGGCAACGCTTAAGCCAAAAAGAATTTCCTTCACTCCCCTCCCCAAATTTGCCCCCTGGAAAATGGAAAGGTAACCTTCCAACCCTGAGTTTTAAAAAGATTTTTTTCCTAAGTAATAACCTTTGCTTTCTTATATTTTAATTTCTTTTTCATTGCTTTACTTCTTTTGATTGTACATATGTATTTCCTGCGTGGTTAAAACAAAGTCAGTTTTTAATGCACACTGAAAAAAAAAACCCATCCTTTTTAGTCATAATAAACATTTTGAACAACAGAAAAACCTAAATGAGAGGAATGACAGCCACCTGGTTTCCGGCCACCCGAAAGTAACATTAGAAGGGGAACAAGGATGGACTTCCTTCCAGTCTTTTTTCTGTGCGGCTGGCTGCGCTTTCAGGGCGTCTTGCTCGTGTCTTCTCTCATGGCTCCTCATTTGTTCCGAAAGCCGCCATTTATTTTATTTTTTTAAATATATTTTATTGATTATGTCATTACAGTTCTATTTCTCCGCTTCATTCCCCTCCACCCTGCACACCCCTCCCCCACCATTTTCCCCCTTTAGTTTATGACCACGTGTCTCAAGTTCTTTAGATTCTATATTTCCCATACTATTCTTGCCCTCCCCCTATCTATTTTCTACTTACCATCTATGCTATTTATATTCTGTACCTTCTTCCCCCTTCTCCTTCTCTCACTCCCCTGAAAAGCCACCATTTAAATCATTCTACACATAGGTGTGATCTGCACACTTACGCCTGTAGAAATGGCACATTGCTGTACAAGTATTACCACTGTATACACATGTGCTCACAGCATCCCATATATACCCACGCCCATATGCATGCTTAGTTGGGTGTTCCTATACCTACCATGTTTACTAGGCATTTGCACACACATATATGCACTCGGACATATTTACTTTATTCTCACCGTCAAGAGATATGACTGTCTCCTTAATGGATAGGAAAAGACCGACATACTAGGAATCGTGCGAATCTGAAACCTTACATAGAAATGCCAAGGAGTTATCGATTCCCGGTGGGTGTATGAATGCAAGGTGAGTGTAGGTCGGAATGTTTAGGCCAAAACTTGACCCAAGGAGCTCACCACGTCTTTAACTCTGTGTTCTTCATTTCGTCACCTAAAATAACGTAAGGCTACACTGTTCAGACTCCTCTGGGGGAGAATGTGTTCCAGTGTCCGTCTGAGCGTCCTGCCGCCTCACAGAGTGTGACGCATCTCTGAGGGCGCTTCCCTGGAGGCCTCTGCTCTGTGCCTGGCCACCTTCCTGTGTAGTGTGTAGCTGCTGACTGCAGGCCCGTCTGTCCCCAGGGCAGTGGTCTCTGGTGGTCTCTGTGGCTTCTCATGTGTCCTGGGCCAGAGAAATGTCTTAGAAAACCAGGTTTCCAGGTGCCCTTTCAGCAGCTCCTGCGATTTCGCTAGTCAAGACCGGTTCTCACCACGTTTCCTTGGCCTGGGCTTCCTGTGCTCCTGGGAGGGCATAAACCCAGTCTCCGCTTGCTCACCTGGTGCGGACCTGAGATTTCCGGTTCTCAGGTGACACTTTTTCAAGTGTTTGGACTGAGGTTCCCATGGAGGGTCGGGGCTGGCAGGAGAGTCGAGGCGATGTCGTGGCAACAAACATGCCCAGACTCTCAGCGTATTGACACAACCGCAGAGGTTTGTTTCCTACTCTCCGTGTCTGTCAGGGGACGGTGGGGAACTCTGTTCCCTGTGCCCTCACTCAGGGACCCGGGGGGAGGGGACTGCCACTCTCCTCAGCGTCCCAGGCTGGACGCTGAACATGCGCAGACCTGCAAACGCTCCAGAAATACTCAGAGGCCTGTCTGAGCGACTCGGGCGCTGAGCTCCCTACTCCGTCAAGGCCTCTCGGCTCCACCTGCCCACCACACGAGTGTCAGGCCATGTCTCCGGTCCCAGAGGGGGTGCCCCTTTATTTAAATACAGCACAGTGTTTGGACTACTTTTGTTTTACATCATCCAGCACTTCTAGACGTTTCCACGGATTGTGGGGAGGGAGAA